TGAGGGAATTACTACACCACGTGAGGTCCCTCATAACACCATCTGTGAGGGAATTACTACACCACGTCAGGCCCCTCATAACACCATCTGTGAGGGAATTACTACACCACGTGATGCCCCTCATAACACCATCTGTGAGGGAGCTACTACACCACGCGAGGCCCCTCATAACACCATCTGTGAGGTAATTACTACACCACGTGAGGTCCCTCATAACACCATCTGTGAGGTAATTACTACACCACGTGAGGTCCCTCATAACACCATCTGTGAGGGAATTACTACACCGTGAGGCCCCTCATAACACCATCTGCGAGGGAATTACTACACCACGCCAGGTCCCTCATAACACATCTGAGGGAACTACTACACCACGTGAGTTCCTCCTAACACCATCTGGGAGGGAGTTACTACACTACGAGTTTGCTGTTCAACACCTACATTAATCTGTATGTTCACTGTTATGTTCCTTTACCTTCTCTAATGAAGGCTTTTGTTAAACCACCAATGTATGTAATAAGTCATTTATGTCCAATGTATATTTTCAGCCTTCGGGCTGCAGAACTTTTTCAATAAACCGTAATTATTATTATTTACACCCTTTACACACACACACACACACCACATACACACACACACACACACACACACACACACACACACACACACACACACACACACACACACACACACACACACACACACACACACACACACACACACACACACACACACACACACACACACACACACACACACACACACACACACACACACACACACACACACACACACACACACACACACACACACACACACACACACACACACACACACACACACACACACACACACACAGGGAAAAACAAAACATCGTTCAGAGTTGCTGCAATAAATTCTGCTAAAGGGTTTTGTATTGCTGTGGCGTTTATTGACCCTGTTTATTTCTTTTGTATTTCCTGTCTGTGTGTGTGTGTGTGTGTGTGTGTGTGTGTGTGTGTGTGTGTGTGTGTGTGTGTGTGTGTGTGTGGTGTGTGTGTGTGTGTGTGTGTGTGTGTGTCTAGTGTTTGTTTCTATTTCTCTTTGTTTATCCTCTGTGCTGCCTATCTATCTATCTATCTATCTATCTATCTATCTATCGATCTTGTATCTAAGTTACAAGTATTTTTTCGATTAATTTATTTGTTTTATTCTGCTATATATTTTTTGTTTTGTTTTGTATTTATTCTATTTTGTATTTTCATTTATATTATTTTTGTTTATTTTTATGTAATTGTTTCTTTTGTTGTTTTTTTTATAACTTTTAATTTAATCTTATTTTCAGGTTTATGTACCAGGAGTAAATATCTCTCTTGTTGACATAGCACAAGTGAGGGTCATGTGACACACACACACACACACACACACACACACACACACACACACACACACACACACACACACACACACACATCTACCTGACGGCCTTAATAACACTCAGGTAAATGGTCATCAGTAATTACCTATCTCTTAAGTCTTCTCTATATTATTTTGGTTCACAGTGACTGAGTGTGTGTGTCCTTCAGGGGCTTTACAGGTCCTTCGTCAGGTAAAAAGTCCTACAAGTGAGGTGGGGGGGGCGGGGGTGTTTACGAGAGTGGAAAGTCCTTCACGTGGGCAAAAAGTCCTTATCACAGGCAAAAAAGTATCTCGTGTAGGTAAAAAAAAAAGTGTTTCTTGTAGGCAGAAATCCTTCACATGGGCAAAAACTCTCTTATGTGAATAAAAAAAAGTATTTCTCAAGGGTAAAAAGGTTCTCAAGAGGGCAAAAAATCTCATGTGGGTAAAAAAAGCCTCTCCCATGGGCAAAAAGTTTTATGTGAGTAAAAAAAAAACATTTCTCGCAGGCAAAAAGTTTCTCTGATGGAACAAAAAAAAATCTCACGACCTCAAAGTTTCTGGAACAATCAACGCTTTAATCCTATTCCCAGTGTTGAGGCGACCACAGCACAACACAACACAACACAACCCAACCCAACACACCGCAACACAACACAACACAACACAAACACAACACAACACAACGCAACACACAACACAACCCAACACAACACAACCCAACCCAACACAACACACCACAACACAACACAATACAACCCCAAACACAACGCAACACAACACACACCCAACCCAACACAACAAAACCCAACCCAACACACCACAACACAACCCAACGCAACACAAACACAACACAACACAACACAACAACACAACACAACACAACCCAACCCAACACAACCCAACACAACACACCACAACCCACCACAACCCAACCCAACCCACCACAACCCAACACAACACAACACAACACAACCCCCAAACCCAACACACAACACAACACAACACAACCCAACCCAACACACCGCAACACAACACACAACCCAACCCAACACACCGCAACACAACACAACCCAACCCAACACACCGCAACACAACACAACCCAACCCAACACACCGCAACACAACACAACACAACACAACACAACACAACACAACACAACGCAACACAACACACCCAACACAACACAACCCAACCCAACACAACACACCACAACACAACACAATACAACCCCAAAACACAACGCACACAACACAACCCAACCCAACACAACAAAACCCAACCCAACACACCACCACAACGAAACACAACACAACACAACACAACACAACCCAACACAACACAACACAACACAACACAACCCAACACAACACAACACAACCCAACCCAACACAACCCAACACAACACACCACAACCCACCACAACCCAACCCAACCCACCACAACCCAACACAACCCAACACACCACAACCCACCACAACACAACACAACACAACCCAACACACCACAACACACCACAACCCACCACAACACAGCACAACACACCATCCCGTTATTATACACCGTCTCTTGTTTTATTCCTGGAGGCAATCATCGTGTTCCCTCCCAATTGGACACAAATTTCCCTCCGCCTTGTAGGACACGCGCCATGGTATGTATCCTGTGAGGTCGTGGTTGGGGTCAGGTGTGGGGAGGAGCCGAGTAGGTGGTAGGAAGAGGTGGGAGGTCGGTGATACACTTCACCCACCAGCTGTCCAACCCATAAACCCACTCGCCCACCCCTACACCCAGCCCACCCTTCGAGCTACTCACCCCTCCACCCAACCCACCCCTCTGGCTGCTCACCCCTCCACCTACCCCTCAGCCCTCACCCCTCCACCTACCCCTCAGCCCTCACCTCTCCACCCTTTTATCCACCTACCCACCCACCCCTCCCGCCTCTGGTCACAAGAGGAGCCGCCATATTCTAAGATACTCGCCCTAAAGTCTCACCGTGGTAGAGGAGCGAGCAATCGGGTCCGGTCGCTGGTCTCTAATTTAACACCCTTCGTCCCTCATTACGTCTATCCTTATCTCTCTAGTTGAAAACCCTGCTGTTTCCTCTCTCTGTCTCTCTCACTCTGTCTCTCTCTGGTGGCGCGAGGGGAGGAAACACTGAGGAGAAGGAAAGACGTACCCCGTATGTTTGTCTTGTAATCTTTGCTTTGCCTTTATAAGAAGAATGTTAAGGAGGGCACTGACGATGTGAACGATAGTTAAAGAAAATGATAAACCATTTCATCCCCAGTGTCCAACCGACGTCCATTGCCTGAGGGGGAAACAAGAGAGGCTTCCACACACCACTTCACTCAACCACACTCCTCATTTATTAACATTAAACCATAAACTTAACTTAAAAAAAAAACATTCCGTAAAAAAAATATCAAAGGGAAATTGGTTTAACTCGGGTGTCAGTTTATGAACGTGAATTGGCAAAGCGTATTTAAGTTTTATGGGGGAAAGTGGTTTTATTTATTATTTCCCGCAAGGCTGGCAACAGATGGAGGTAGGGAGGGAGGGAGGGAGTTAAATATGGCTTATATTACGGTGTTGAGGAGGACCTGAAAAACAAACAGCTTCATTTGTCAGTCGCCCGCCGTTAATGACCCCGAGGTCGAGATCCCTCGCTGTGTCATTGTTAGAGCTGTGACGGTGTACCTGTGACGCCTTACCCTTGAAGCTTTACGAGTAATAAGGTACTTGTGACGGTGACATCTAAGACATGCTCTACCGTCACGCGATAACCTGTGACGTATATTTAAGACATCGTAACAGAGGAGATAACGATAGCGTGTTACCTGTGGACGCGCTAATGGCGTTATTATCTGTGACATGGACCGGATATGACGTCACGGATTACGCTCTGGTTTACGTGGAATTGACACTATAAATTACGTCAAGTTTTATTTCTGCTTTTTTAATGTTATGACACACACACACACACACACACACACACACACACACACACACACACTATTTCGCTTTAGACTAATAACATTAATGACACTGTGGGTTGACTTGTGGCGCCTGGCCTGCTAACTCAGAACCGTATTAAGGTTCCTTCACCGTATGACGTCCAACAGAACACGGGAAAGTGGGGGGTAGGTTATAGAAAACGGGAAGGTAAGGATAGGTCACAGAAAATGGGAAGATGGGGGGTAGGTCATAGAAAACGGGAAGATAGGGGTATGACATAGAAAACGGGAAGGTAGAGGGTAGGACAGAAAATGGGACGATGGGGGTATGTCTTAGAAAACGGAAGGTAGAGAATAGGTCACAGATAACAGGAAGATGGGGGGTAGGTCACAGAAAATGGGAAGATGGGTTAGGCATAGAAAACGGAGCGCAGTGGTAGTGTACAGTAATTAAGGTGCTCCATTCTTCACGGCTGGGTGGTCATTAGGGGACAATGTTATTGTTTCTGCGTTGATGGGTTGTTACGTGTGTTGGGGAGGAGGAGGGGGGGGGCAGTGTGGGTAGGTGGTGGGAGTGTTTGTACAGTGTGGGTGGGTGGAGGTTTTGTGTTGAGGGTCACGGCAACCCACAACCATCACTATAACAACCCACGACCAAGAACCTGCCA